CAGCTCTACACCTTGTTATATCAGCTAAGATAGCCCTTGATGGTTACAAATCTATCCTGTTCCGACCTTTCCTCCTAAGAAGAGACCCACCTATTCCAGGTATTAGTCCAGTAAGTCTGCTCTAAATTGCCTTCATCACATCTCTTTCCTCAAGTAAGGTGATCAATACTGTATGTAGTATTCCACATGAGGTCTTCTCAGTGCTCTGTATAGCACAAGCACAAGCTCCTACTTTTGCATTCAATTAGAATCATAGAGTCATACAGCACGGAAACAGGCCCTTCAGTCCAGTTCATCCACGCCAACCAGACATCCCAATCTGACCTAGTCCCATTTGCCAGCATTTGGGCCATACCCCTCAAAACCTTTCATGTTCACATACCCATCCAGATGCCTTATAAATGATGTAATTGTACCCACCACTTGCTCCAGCAGCTTGTTAGCTTTCCTAATTACTTGTCTGTACCTGCCCACTCACCTTTTGTGATTCATGCACAAGGACACCCAGTCAGCATTTCCTCTACATGTTCCTGTTGGTGTGCCGATCTCAGAGATCCATATATGGCAGAAGCTGTGTGTTGGCGCACCGATCTGCATGAGTGGATGTCACAATGGCCATGCAGCTTATAGGGCACATTGTACCCAGATGCCAGGAAAACTCCCGATCCAAGTCTTAAACAATTACGCAAGTACAACTTCCTGGAGTACATATTTTGCAGTGCTTCATTTGAAATGGTTTCTCCCCTTTTCACTCTGAAATGATTGGCCCCTTATCCTTTTCTGGCACCAGTGGGACCGAGCTCTCGGCTTCTACCCTCTCAGACCATGTCAGATTCCTGTCCGTCCCAATGAGCTTGCCTGTCATTTAAAATTATTTCATTCACTGTGTAATAGATAATGCACGGAGGACTCTTCAGTGAAGATGGTATAACCCTGGAAGACATCAAGAAGATTGATCGCAACCGACAGCCACCAGATTCAGGTATGGAATTGTAACGTGCACTTCTCCGATGGAACACTTGATCAGTGTTGATTAATGGTGTGTGTCTGTGACCAGGCATTGATAGGTCTACCTGGATCGGAATCCAGCAGGAACCCCTGACGAATCATTAATTTGGTTGGGTGTGCGGCAGAACAAAAGTAATTTCAATGATGTTTGTTAAGCCAAATAGTTTATAATAACTGTGTTTATGTTTTGCTTTACAAGAAGGATTAAACACCTAAAACATTCTTGTTACCATTTTGAGGTAAATTTAAGTCCTCGAACATTGTGCACTGAGTAATGTGTGTGATCGTGTCCGACACATTTCACTTGCTCAGCTATACTTTAGCAGTCTCACAGAATTGTCTCAGTTGCAAATTAGGCTTTTATGTCCCATAAAACTGAGCAACGTTTTTTAGATATGAAAAGAAGCAACAAGCTGAGATTTTTTATTCCCCTTTTCCCCTGGTTTTCTGTTTTTCCCCCTTCTGTTTATCTTCATCCACCCTGCTCTCCTGTCTCACCAAAGTGTTTCACTGTTTTTGTTACCTGGCTTATTTCTGATCCTCTACGTTTCTAAACAATTGTTCTCATTTACTGTGTTTTGCAACAGGTCCAATGTGCGATTTGCTCTGGTCAGATCCACAGCCTCAGGTAAGAGTCTGGAATCGGGCTTGCTGCATTCAAACCTCAATGGTGTCCTATCTTTAAAAACCTAGACCAGATTTTGCTGAACATGTGGGGTTAGGGATCCAAGTGCCCTGGCTCAAAAGTTTTGGTCATCAAAAGCCCATCCGTCTTCATGATTTATCTTAGCAAGTGGCCTGCTGTCTTTGAGTTTTGTGGGCCTAGACGTTTGGAAAGGACAGTTAGCACTGTTGCCTCATTTAGTGGACAAAGCATAAAGTGGAACGCCAAGTTCTGTTAATTGTTGCCAGACACCGATAACCGTGAAGTTAATCGCAATTTCAAAATTGTGCTAAGTCATTGAAGATATTCAATAATGTGATTTTTATTTTGAACACCAAAGGTGTTTGGGGACAGTGCGAAGAGCTGGAATTGAGACAATGATCAGGTCAGCCATGATCATGTTGAATGGCAGAGCATGTTTGAGGGGTTGGACAGCCTATTCCTGCTCCAATTCCTTATGTTCTAATGCATTGAAGCACCCCAAACATCCACCCAGTTTGACCTTGTCAAATGAGAAGGATCAATTGGTGGAAGCTAGGTAAATTTGGTCTGTATTCTCAGGAGCTCAGATGATGAAGAGGCAACCACAGTGTGACGTTCAAGGTTCTGTAAGGGTTCAATAGGGTAGACAGTGATTTTTTTTTCCACTGTTTAGGGAGTCCAAAACAGTCTCGGGATAAGGGGCTGATTGTTCAGGATTGAGATTGGGAGAATTACTTCAAACAGGTGGTGGTGAATCTTGAAATTCTCCACCAAGATGTTGTGGCTGCTCTGTTGCTGAAAATGTATCAGGCTGGGATAGACAGACATTTTGTCTTGGGGAATGGGGAGTTGATGTCCTCAAGATCAGCCATGATTGTATTATATGGAGCTTACTCGAGGGGCCGAATGGTCTACTCCTGATTCTGTGCCATGTTCTTGAGGAGTTAGCAGAAGATGGCTCAAACCTGGGCCTCCCGAGATGCCACACCAGTCACCATTTTCTCAATTGGCTCCACCAACAAAACCTGAGCACCAAGCTGGTGTTCAGTGCTCTGTCATTCATGGCTCTTGTTTTTACAGTGAGTCTTGCCCAGAGTGAAAGTGCCCATTTCTGTTGCCTTTTCTAGAACGGGAGGTCGATCAGCAAGCGTGGCGTCAGCTGCCAGTTTGGTCCAGACGTCACCAGCCGATTCCTGGAAGAGAATAAACTGGATTATATCATCAGGAGCCATGAGGTGAAGCCAGAGGGCTATGAGATTACACATAATGGCAAATGTATCACTGTGTTCTCAGCGCCAAATTATTGGTAAGTATTCAATGGAACATAGTTTCCTATTATTATGATCTCCAGCTGATGGTAATGCTGGAAGAGTCAGTTTCTAGAGTGCATCCTGGCTCAATAGAGTGTAAGCATTTTTTTAAAATTAATTTTGCAATTTGGTTAGTGTTGTCACTCGCTGATAATATTCACGAGACTGTTAATGTACTTTCACAAAAGAATGCAAGTGGGAGAAAAAAGCGCTAGAACAAATTTGGACAGTCTTCTCAGAAACACAAAAAGAAAGATTCAATCCTTTTACCCAGCGATATCCTTTATGGAAATTCAGCCCAATCACTTCCATCTTCACTTTGAAATTTCTTACTCAACTGATGAGGTCACAAGCATTTCCTTTCAACAGCTTTCTGCATATTCACTCAATGTAGTTTTTTCCACCTATCCCTCTGACAGACAAGACACGGGACTAACTCGCTGATCTTTCTCACCGAATTCTAATGACAGTTTAAAACTTCTTTTTAAATTCTAATGGCTTGAAGTGTCCACAAACTTGTGAACTGACTTTCTGCGGGAATGGATCTTTTCTTCTGAACTCAAACTGCTTATGATTCCTGGCCACCCACCTCTGTATTTTGTAAACATTATCTCCCAAGCTAGTTCGCCAGTCATTTAGCTTAATTCAGATGTTTGCTTGGGAATGGCGTTTTGAACTCAATGATTATCTGAGTTTTTTTAAGAAAGACCTTTACAGAACTAAAATCATAACTCCATTTTAATTCTGCTGCGGAATCTAAGTTCCCAACCAACAATAATATGTTATAAAATAAGGGGAAGGCGATGACCTAGTGGTATCAACACTGGACTATTAATCCAGACACTCGTAATATCCTGGGGATCTGGGTTCGAATCCCACCACAGCAGAAGGTGGAATTTGAATTCAATTTTAAAAAATCTGGAATTAAGAGTGTAATGATCAGTTTCCGTTTGTTGGAAAAACCCATTTGCTTCACTAATGCCCCTTAAGGGAAGGAAACTGCCATCCTCACCTAGTCTGGCTGACATGACTCCAAAATGTTTTTGACGCTTTGTGAAAAAAAACTGTTCTCTGGGTATTTAGAGAAGAGCAATAAATGCTGGCCCAGCCAATGACCCCCTCATCTTGTTAATGAATAAAAACAAAACGGTAATCCTGGAACGATCAGTTTCTTGAGTGAAACCTGGCTCAGATAGAGTGTAAGCTTTTTTAAAATTAACTATTAATTTATCACAATACTGTGCATAGGAGAAGGGTATTTAGCCTGTCACGTCTCCCCCAGCTCTGTGCAGGGAACAATTGAAAACTAATCCAAAGATGTGCAGGTTAGGGTGAATTGGCCATGCTAAATTGTCCGCAGTGCGTAGGCTAGGTGGGTTAGCCATGGGAAATGCAGGGTTACCGGGATAGTGTAAGGGGTTGGGATGCTCTTTGGAGGGTTGGTGCGGACTTGATGGGCCGAATGGCCTGCTCCTACACTTTTGGGATTCTATGATGATGGTTAATTCCACTACCTGGCTTTCTCCCCACTGCATTGCATTCTCTGCGATGAAAGAATAGGTGGGGTGAAACATTTGCATTGGCAGGAGGATCAGTAACCAGAGAATACAGACTTAGGATCATTGACAAAAGGACCAGAGAAGAGAAATGGGATTTATTTTATGTCAAATCTATGTTGTGATCTGGAACGTGCCACCTAAGATGACAGTGAAAGCAGAATCAGGAGCAGCTAACGAACGGGAATTGGATAGGTTACTTGAAGGGGAGATGATGATAGAGTAATGAGGAAAGAACAAGGAGGACTGGCACAATTTGAAGTATCTTCAAAGAACTGGCACAAGCTCAGTGGGCCACATGGGGAAGAAAAGATCAGCTTTCTTTCCAAATTTATTCATGAAATGTTGGCATCACCGGCAAGGTCAGCGTTTGTTGTCCATCCCCTAATTACCCTTGAACTGAGGCCAGAGTTGACCACATTGAGTTGATGTGAATGATCGGATGGGAAACCAAGGTGCGTATAATTCACCTCCGGGCCTCCAATCTAAAGCCCATCTTCAAAAACTCTGGTAAATTCAGAGTGGATACGTCGTATTAACATGAATGATGGAGTTTTGGTGAGTGGGTGTTGGGCTTGTAATGAATCAACCACATTGTGGTCTGGAGTCACATGTAGGCCAGACAAGGGGAGGATAATAGATTTCCTTCCCTAAAGGACATTGGTGAGCCAGATGGGTTTTTTTTTTACAACAATCGAAGGCAGTTTCACTGTCACTATTACAGGTATTTCTGTTATAACACGTTTCATTAATGCAAATTGACTGTAAAGCAGTTGATAAATAGTGGACCCTGTTTGGATAATGTGAACTTTCTGCTGTACAGGTATAGCAATTTTCTACGGCAGTTTTCCCTAGAACGCAACTTCCAAAAGCATGTTTTTCTGTAGCGCAAGGTCACACAGGAACGTGCCTATTGCACTGTAGGAGAAATACCTGTACTATTTTGTTTAATTCTTTAATTTTAAATTCTACTACCACCCATGTGCCCAGAGCATTGGCCTGGGCCTCTGGATTAATAGGCCGCTGGCACTAACATGATGCCATCGTCTCACCCTAAACCCAGTTCATCAAACCTGATCCACATTTACCAGGGCCATGATTAAACATCATCAATTCCTTCCCTTCCACAACCTGTTATCCCCTGAAAGAGGCAATGAAGAAACCTCCTGTGATTTAACATTGCAGCAAGTTATCAGTATGTGCTGTACACACCAATGCATGTTTGCTGCCCCTTCCTGTGTATTATAATTGCCTGTCTCTGAATTCAATTCTTAATGATTGCTCCTTCTGTCTCAGTGATCAGATGGGAAACCAAGGAGCGTACATTCACCTCACGGGCTCCGATCTAAAGCCCATCTTCCATCAATTTAAAACTGTGGTAAGTTCAGAGTGGAAATGCTGTCTTGGTGTGAGTTTTGGAGTATTGGAGGTAGTGGGTGGGCGTTGGGCTTGAGGCTGGGAAAAGGAGGCCCGTTCAGTAGTGGGTATTGGAAGGACAGTCGGGTGGTAAGGTGGGGAAGGCAGCAAACGGGGTTCAGGGAGCTGGCAGAATGTTTGCAGGGGAGAACCCAGATGGAGGACCAAGTTCATGGCACTGAGAGACAGGAGATGTGGCCGATTAAGAAGCACCATCAAACTTGGTTTGAGCAGCTTAATCATGTACAAAAACACTAAAGGGGCTGCAAGGTCGCACCATTTTAATTTAGTGGAAACAAATTGAGTAAAAGAAACTGCAGTGGTGTGATTTCAACAGGAAGGAGTGAGCTCAAGGAGATATTGTGCATGTGGGGGCTGACACATTGGGAACTATGTTTTACCCAAGTAATGGCCTGTTTCTCTCTCTTCCAGCCTCACCCGAATGTTAAGCCAATGGCGTACGCGAACTCACTACTGCAGATGGGGATGATGTAGCATCCGCGCATCTGGTGTGGACAGTATCCCCTCCCATGGTGGGTGGGGCATCAGGGTTTAATTTAATCTTCCTCACTAACTCTACCATCTCCGAACCAAGTCTCCCACCTTCCCTGGGCCTTCGCTGACTTGGGTTCTCAGCAAGTGCAGGTTCCTCCTGGTGCGTGGAGGCAAATGTGTGTGACTCCTGCGCTCCCATGCACACCACAACAACATGTGTGCCCTTACAAGCATGGTCTCGGATCAACTTCTTAATATCTAGATCAGTTAGGCTGTGCAGAATAAATCAATTTGAAGTTCCTTACCTGCTGTAGTTTTTCTTTCAACTTCCACAGGTAAACAGTTCCATGACTGTTTTCAGCCGCTTCTCAATGATGTGGTCTCTGATTGGCTGCTCAGTCCCTCAGATACACCTTTGTCCCACCCTAGAAGCTGCTCCCCAGTGCCCCAAAACTAAAATTGTGAATCCAAAAATGTAAACACAGAGTTAATTGCGATTGACCATGGCTTTACACAGGGGAAGTAGCTCATTGGCAAAATACAGTAACGCGTGTGTGTGCACCCTGTTCAGCCCAGGGACATTCAAGCTATGGTGTGTGTTTTCCCTCTCCTAACCTGACAATGTGACTCCCCGACAGGCATCCCTCCCCACCCCCTATTTCCTGATTTCTCGCCCGCATCCACCTTACCTAACTGGCTGATTTACGTTGTTCGTTTGAACTTCGGTGGGGCTATTCCTGGTGGTGCTCACCCCTCAAAAATCGAAATCTCCTGGGATCAGCAGTTTATCGTCAATTACAGTTTGGGTGTGGCCTGAGGTGCTGCGGTTTCTCGGCCCAGAACCACTCCCAGGAAAGCCAAAACCATCCTCGGGCCTATGGGTTTCAGTGTAATATTACGTGTGCCACTCGGAAGGTGCTATTGGAGAAGCCCAACAGCTCAATTCATGAAAGGGCAGGATCAGGAGAATGTTTGATCCAGTGGAAAACTGCCATTGTTTTGGGGGGGGAGGGTGGTTGCAATAATCTGGGAGCGTACGACTATATTTACTGCACCCTCATCAGTGCAGTTGAGCAGCTGTGATCCCTTAAGAAAGATATTCCTGTAGCACCTTTCAGCACCTTGAAGTGTGTCCCAGAAGTACTGTAAAATTTGAAATGCAGCCAGGGCTGTAGGAAATACAGCAGCCAGTTTACACACAGAGCTCTTGCAAAGAGATGGGAACATAAGAAATAGGAACAGGAACGGGTATTCGGCCCGTCAAGCCTACTTTGCTATTCAGTAAGATGATGGCTGATCTTCCATCTTCACCGCGCCTCCCCATAATCCCTGGATTTACTTTGTATCCAGAAAAATCTATTGATCTCCATCTTGAGCGTACTCCTGTTTGTACGGAATCCGATAAAGCTATTTACCCCGTCCCGCTTCGTTGAGGTTAAAATCCCAAGTTAATCAATGATGCACGCAGGACTGAGCAATCATTTGGCTCCCGTGTACACTAGCTGCTGCTCCTGCTGGAATCCTGGTTTTCGGTCTATATAGATTCCTGATGGTTTGCTGAGCACTCCTATAATTGAAACCTCCCTGACAGTTTCTTGAATCAAGTCAATCCATGCCTCATCTTTTAGTCTTCAACTCTTCTCTTTCTCACTCACTCTCTCTCACTCTCTCACTCTCTCACTCTCACTCTCTCACTCTCACTCTCTCACTCTCACTCTCTCACTCTCACACTCTCACTCTCTCACTCTCACTCTCTCACTCTCACACTCTCACTCTCACACTCTCTCTCTCACTCTCTCTCTCTCACTCTCTCTCTCTCACTCTCTCACTCACTCTCTCACTCACTCTCTCACTCACTCTCTC